AAGTGGAGAAAGTCGACACTGCTCAGTGAGCTTGGAATTTTAGGCTCGATTGCGCTATGGCAGTTTGTGAGTTTAGCGACGGTACCAAACAAAAATCTACTGTTGTTTTTATTCGCTTCTATTAAAGTTGAATAGTATTGAGTTCGAGCCCCGCGAAGGGCCTTCTTGTAGTTTCGGAGACCTGCTTTCCACTCCCTGTGGACAGGCTCCGAGTGGGAGTGGCGATATAGCCTCTCCAATTTTCTGACGTCCTGTTTTAAAGTGTGGAGTTGAACACTGTACCAGGGCGACGATGATCTAATCCTAATGGTTTTCTGTTTTAAAGGAGCTGCTGCATTTAATGCAGATTTTAAAGACTCCATAGTGTTGCCCACCGTTTGGTCGATGACTGAGGGACTGCAGCTGCTGTGAACAGGTTCACCTGCAGCAGTATTCAACATAGGCTGTATTAGTTCTTTGAACCTTGTGATAGATTTATCATTTAAGGTTCTTTCCATTATGGTTTTATCTTGCGGGACAGGAAAGTCCTCCAAAGCGAGATCAAACGTGATCAAGAAATGGTCAGACAGCAACGAGCTTTGACGCTGGATGTCAACATTGGAGACATCACAGCCGTAGGTCAGGACAAGGTCCAAGGTGTGGTTATGAATGTGAGTAGGTTCCTCGACATTCTGAGTAAAACCAACACCATCTAGTACGGCGCTGAAAGCTTTGTTTAAGCTGTCAGTGCTGTCGTCCACATGTATATTGAAGTCTCCAGCTATAACTATGTTTTCCCATTCCAAAACTAGGTTTGAAATGAAGTCAGAGAATTCTGTTAGGAACTCGCTGTAAGGACCAGGAGGTCGGTATAAAACTATAAATAGTACTGCTTTTTGTTTTCTCCACCCAGGACAGGTGATTGAAAGTGTTAAGTTTTCAAACGAGTGAAAAGCGTTGTTGGTTTTGGGACTAAGAACCAAGTTGGTGTGTGATATAATCGCAACACCACCGCAGCGACCTGTAGCTCTGGCTTTCTGGTAGTTAACATGCGTCGGAGGAGTGCACTCATTCAATCTAACGTAGTCGTCCTGTTGGAGCCAAGTCTCCGAGAGCGCTAACAGATCCAAGCCCTTGTCTATAATAAGTTCGTTTATGAGAAGCGATTTAGACGAGATTGATCTGACGTTCATTAAACCACATTTAACAACCCTACTGTTAGAACTATTTCTGTCTGTCTGAACTTTTATTAAGTTACTGTGTCTGACACCTAGGTCAGATTTCCTCGCATATAGTGCTTTAGACTTCAAGCGGGGAACACACACAGTTTCAATCTGACTAGGTTCTGAGGCTAGTAACTGAGCACACACAGGCACACACACACATGCACACACAGTTTCAATCTGACTAGCTTCTGAGGCTAGTAACTGAACAGATGGGGGCTCAGAGGTTGTGGCAGAGCAGCTCTGCACCCGGGCCTCAGTTCTGCATCGTCATTTGAGCCGAGCAGAACAGTTTAGAGCCAGGGCCAAATTCTTAGCCAAAAGGGATGTACCCGCCAACGTTGGGTGGATATCATCCGAGCGGATGAGACCGGGCTTTCCCCAAAAGGCACTCCAATTGTCAACATGAACAACACCACTTCGAGGGCACCAGCCAGACAGCCAGCGGTTGAAAGCCGAGTGTCTGCTGAATGCTTCTGCACTGCTAGTGCTAGGTAGGGGCCCAGAGAAGATGACAGTGTCGGCCATTGTGCTAGCCAGCTTGCACACGGCGGCGACTTGCAGCTTCAACACCTCGGACTGTTTCCGCCGAACGTCATTACCACCCGCGTGAATAACAATTCGACGGAAACGCTGCTTGTGGTCTATGGCTAAGCAGTCTCTTCGGTGTGAGGAATAGAGTATAAATCTAGGTTTGGAAAATTAGTGTGTATAAGTATCATAAAAAGTCTTTCTGCAAAATCATTGGCCAACAAGTGTGGGAGAAAGAGAAAAGGGGATTTATTATTTTAATTCTCAGTCTCTGGTGCAAAAATATTAGGCCTGTGTGGATATCTAGCCGGGCAAATCAGGTAAAAGATGTTAGATGAGGCTGGGGCATTGTGGGCCTAGGACGCATATTTGAAGATCATTGGCAAGCATGTGATGGATTTATGTCAGTGTGGTCAACCTGAACGGTGCTATGAATATGTTATTGTTTTGCGCTCTATACTCAACAGAAAGGCCAGTTATGTACATGCAGCTGTCAGATCTTGGAATTAGCAGTTTTTCAATAAAATATATATTTTCCTCGGTAAAGAATTCGCGTTTGATCGACAAAGCAATTGTATCCTTCCATTCTCTCCACAGTTTGTACCAACGAGTAACAGTTAGCTAGTAACAGTTAGGCTAGTAACAGTTAGGCTAGTAACAGTTAGGCTAGTAACAGTTAGGGCTAGCAACAGTTAGGCTAGTAACAGTTAGGCTAGTAAACAGTTAGGGCTAGTAACAGTTAGGCTAGCAACAGTTAGGCTAGTAACAGTTAGGCTAGTAACAGTTAGGCTAGCAACAGTTAGGCTAGTAACAGTTAGGCTAGCAACAGTTAGGCTAGTAACAGTTAGGCTAGTAACAGTTAGGCTAGTAACAGTTAGGCTAGCAACAGTTAGGCTAGTAACAGTTAGGCTAGTAACAGTTAGGCTAGCAACAGTTAGGCTAGTAACAGTTAGGCTAGTAACAGTTAGGCTAGTAACAGTTAGGCTAGCAACTGTTAGGCTAGTAACAGTTAGGCTAGTAACAGTTAGGCTAGCAACAGTTAGGCTAGTAACAGTCAGGCTAGCAACAGTTAGGCTAGCAACAGTTAGGCTAGTAACAGTTAGGCTAGCAACAGTTAGGCTAGTAACAGTTAGGCTAGTAACAGTTAGGCTAGTAACAGTTAGGCTAGCAACAGTTAGGCTAGTAACAGTCAGGCTAGCAACAGTTAGGCTAGTAACAGTTAGGCTAGCAACAGTTAGGCTAGTAACAGTCAGGCTAGCAACAGTTAGGCTAGTAACAGTTAGGCTAGCAACAGTTAGGCTAGTAACAGTTAGGCTAGTAACAGTTAGGCTAGCAACAGTTAGGCTAGTAACAGTTAGGCTAGCAACAGTTAGGCTAGTAACAGTTAGGCTAGCAACAGTTAGGCTAGTAACAGTTAGGCTAGTAACAGTTAGGCTAGCAACAGTTAGGCTAGCAACAGTTAGGCTAGCAACAGTCAGGCTAGCGACAGTTAGGCTAGTGACAGTTAGGCTAGTAACAGTTAGGCTAGTGACAGTTAGGCTAGTAACAGTTAGGCTAGTAACAGTTAGGCTAGCAACAGTTAGGCTAGTAACAGTTAGGCTAGTAACAGTTAGGCTAGTAACAGTCAGGCTAGTTACAGTTAGGCTAGTAACAGTTAGGCTAGTAACAGTTAGGCTAGTAACAGTTAGGCTAGTAACGGTTAGGCTAGTAACAGTTAGGCTAGCAACAGTTAGGCTAGCAACAGTTAGGCTAGCAACAGTTAGGCTAGTAACAGTTAGGCTAGCAACAGTTAGGCTAGTAACAGTTAGGCTAGTAACAGTTAGGCTAGTAACAGTTAGGCTAGCAACAGTTAGGCTAGTAACAGTTAGGCTAGTAACAGTTAGGCTAGTAACAGTTAGGCTAGTAACAGTTAGGCTAGTAACAGTTAGGCTAGTAACAGTTAGGCTAGTAACAGTTAGGCTAGCAACAGTCAGGCTAGTAACAGTTAGGCTAGCAACAGTTAGGCTAGTAACAGTTAGGCTAGTAACAGTTAGGCTAGTAACAGTTAGGCTAGCAACAGTTAGGCTAGTAACAGTTAGGCTAGTAACAGTTAGGCTAGTAACAGTTAGGCGAGTAACTTCCAAACTAAAACTCTCTGGAACTGCATGGAAACTGAACACAGAATTCTGAACATCAGCGGTGAGTGATCCAAACATAAACTTAACCTAAATCCATAATTCCATCCTCTGCAAATGTTCCTAAAATGTCCCGGAATCTACTCCTGGGGTTTTTCGCGATTGCTTTTTCTCATTTCTAGTGGTATGGAAACCAGAGCATCTGGAGGAAACCTACGCAGCACAGGGAGAACATGCAAACTCTACGCAGAAAGGCCTGGAGGTGGAATCGAACCAGGAGCTCAGTACAAAGATCAGTTTCATTGCCATTTCCGATTCACGATTATGTTCAAACCAAAAGCTCTATCAACCTCACACTAGCATCATAAGCTACATTTAGTTTGTATTTATATATTTGGAAAGTAGCGGTGAAGTAAGTCTCCCAACACTGTCAGTTATTCAGTTTGAAAAGTCTAATGAAAATGACTGCTTCTTATTTTGAGTCCATCTCTTCGTCCTTTAACAACTACACACTTTCCTCTGGGTCGGACTCTTACTCTGTGGCGCTCTGACAAAGAAACACGTCAGAGGCAACACGTATAACTGTGTATGAAGCATTCAAATGTGTCAAATACGTAGATAAATATAATTGGTTTGTTTACTTACATTGTTTGGAGCGACATATCTGCCCTGAAATCAATCAATCAATCAACTTTAATTTGTACAGCACCTTTTCCTACACAAGGCAACACAAAGCGCCTCACAACCCACATCACATCAAGCTAATCATAAACATTAAAATCTACATATACTTAAACAAATGTATATGTAGATTCACTCACTCGGGCTCATTACATACTGTGCATCTCGGTAAACTCAGATCCAATCGTTTCAATCTGCAAAAGGAGTTAGCCCCTCCCACCTGTTCACGGAGTCAATGGAGCAAATCCAGACCTTTGAACTAAATGTCATTTGTACTATGGTGTGGTAAGACCAGGCTACCACAGTGCATTAAAAAGGGTAAATATAAAGTCCCTATTATGACATGACGATGATGAGATGTGTCCTTTGTAACTAATCTGATGTCAGAGATGAATCCTGACCTGAAATAAACATAAATCTACATTATCGCACTTTGACTCGGAACCTTTAATGTCCTCCTTTAGGGTCAGTTTCAGTCAGCGTCCCTGCGAACCGTCCCTGCGAACCCTCCCCTCTCACGTCCCTGACACATCTGTGGCAGCCGGGGGTGACACTGAGGACCACACACACAGCAGAGATACGGCACCAGCCTCCGAGGCCGCGGCGTCCTCTTTGGCAGCAGAAAAGTTTCATCAGCAAACTGTGCAAAGTGTGGTGAAGACGCAGCAGTGTGTGTGTGTGTGTGTGTGTGTGCCTGCGGTCTCTTGTGATACACAGAGCTGCAGATTCCACTGGGCAGCACTTACAAACCGCTATGTACTAAAAGTGGACTTTAACATGTTATTTAAAGACTCCAGTGCTTCATACTGCCAAGAAAATAAGTACATTTTTATTTAAAGAAGCAATATTTCAGATTTTCATGTCAAGTCATCCTTAAAGGGTCCTAATCTGTCAAAAGGCATTAATAAAACTGCTCTTTTCCAATACTTCTTTAACTGATAACAGTCGTTCAGAGATATTTGGATTTCTAAATAACTTTTCCAGCCCCTAAATCTTGTTATTGTTTTAATGTTGATGTCCCGTCCTCCACCGTTTCACCTATCAGAAAGTCTGTGATCCGGGCGCCAGAACTCACCGCGTGGAGCTAATCTCACTGGTAAAGTACCATGTGGCGCAGAACTAAAAATGGTCTTGTAATAATTCTAAAATAATTAACGACAAAACAAGGAATAAAATAAGGATTTCTATCTTTGTGAAAAAGGTGTTGGTGATAGGTGACGTCAAGAGTTTGCGCCGAACGGGCAGGTTGTAGTTTGGCAGTGGCGAAGAATGCAATAGTAAAGTAATCCGGTCTGGTTCTATCAAGAAACTGAAGCAGGAGCAAGAGGAATGTTTAGCAAATGTAATCGCTGCAAAGATTGTGGCGCTACTCCCCACGGGCTCTGTTTGCAGCAAAGGAGATGGCTAGGCTAAATGCTAACTGCTAACGTCTCACTCGGGCGGATTACATACGTCACAGTAAACTCAGATCCAATCATTTCAATCTGAAAAAGGAGTTAACCCCTCCCACCTGTTATCGGAGTCAATGGAGCAAATCCAGACCTTAGTATGAAATGTCATTTGTACTATGGTGTGGTACGACCAGGCTACTCCTGGACGTGGGAGCAGACTTGATTCTGAGTTTGGTGGAGAGTACAATTCCCGGATCCTAGAAGCTTTGCCACTTGCCTCCCAAAACAAACAGGGCCTAAGTGTCTCATGGACGGAGAAACATCAATGATCGTGATTGTCATGAGGTGAGAAGAAGGAGGAGCCAAAAAACAGGAATACAAACGATGAAAATGAAAACCAATCTGAAAAATCCAAACAAAAACGAGAACCAGGAAAACAGGCAAACAAAGAGAATGGACCAGCAATGGACCAGTAATGGACCTACAATGGACCAACAGTGGACCAGCAACGGACCAACAATGGACCAGCAATTGACCAACAACGGACCAGCAACGGACTAGCAACGGACCAGTAATGGGCCAGCAATGGACCTAAAATGGACCAGCAATGGACGTACAATGGACCAACAGTGGACCAGCAACGGACCAACAACGGACCAACAACGGACCAGCAACGGACCAGTAACGGACCAGTAATGGACCAGCAACGGACCAGCGACGGAGAGGAGCACAGGTACATATAGACACAGAGAGACACAGCAGGGCGTGGCAGACAATCAACTGTGGAGCAAGACAGGGAGTCAAACCTAAACTAAATCACTGAGAAATTAAGTCAAAATAATAATGCATTGGTTTGTATTCACTTCTCAGGACTCTCACACCAGACTCATTCTAATGTGGGGGAAGTGTCTTGCCTAAGGACACAACCACGGTTTGACACTTTAAGAAATCGGACAGGATAAATATAACCAAGTACAAATGAAAACCCGTAGCATGTCAGTGACTCCGTGATCCCGAGGAGCAAACACCTTTTTAATGTAAACTCTGTAGATTCTCAGGGGTGGTGACGGAGAGCGACGGCAGAGAACCACAGACACATATTTGCAGTAAATGTTGATATTGACAAACTCGCCGGTGTGGGGAGGGAGAGGCCCTTCAGCCCCGCTCCGTGCCAGGTACATGTCTGTGGCTTCCCGGTCGTGTTCAGTGTGTAGCATAGGTGTTTGTGTGTTGACATTTCACTTGGAGGAGGTTTTTTCCCATGTGTGGTCCGTGTAACACAACATAAAACACACAACATGACAGGTTTAGATGCCAGTATGTGATTATTAGATTGGATTAATGTATTTTGAATGTATGTTATATGGTATTTAGAATAGACAGCGGCACATTGATGTTGGACACAGACACAATTCTTGTAATTTCAATGATTATTCTGTTGATTCACAATATATTAGAAATTAACAAGTTTTTTTTACAAAGTTGACTCTATTTTGGTGAGCTTAAAAGTATTTGAAAGACAAGCCAATCAAAATAATATACAATAAATCTAATTGAAACTGACAATTAACCCACATTTTTGGCGTTAAACTTTGGATTAGCAGACAAATGGTCTGTTCCATACCTTTCTCACTCTTTGGTGATTGGTATGTATTTTTTGCAGTGTTATTGTAAACAAATACTCAAACACATGTATAATTTTTTGTCGTGACCATCAAAGCTCAACTTAAACGAGTCTCCTAAACCATGGTCCTGATGAGCCTTAGTCAAGATGAATTGTTTTTGAGCAAACACTGTATGAACTGCGGCAGTCGTGGCACCGCCCAGAGTCTGGTCACAGCTCGCCACCTTCAGCAAACAGACCTTCTCTTCCTCCCGGTGGTCTCTGCAGTCCCACCGTGGACGACGGCCAGAGCTGGTGTCCGCTGGAAATCCAAACCTTTGGCCTTGTTTTCCGACCAGAGACTATGTTTGTCCCAGAGTCCAGAGAGGTACAATTACAGAAGCTAAACATAAGATCAAGACACGGTGCATTCAGAAAGAATCCTACTTCACTTTCTCTACAGTTTGCAAATCCTACAGCTTTGTTTCAACATGTTTCACGTTTTTTCTTGTCAATCAACTGACAAGACCCTGAAATTATCTTAAACAGTGTTGTCAGGTATATTATTGTTAAGGTTTGCAAAAGTAGCTCTGACTCCGTCGTTCTTTGGGTCATTTCCACAGTAATTCTCAAGTTCTTCCAGTTGTGACCCGTCCCTAACGTGTGTATTTAAAGTGCTTTTACTAATTCACTTACTTCTGCAGTCCTGCAGTTTGGATTATCCTTATTTTCCTCGTGACATGAACCCAGTCTTTCTACAGTACACACAAAGGCAGTTCAGTTCAGCTGCACTTATTGATCCATCTGATGATTTGTGTGGACACCCTGGTAGACCAAACTTCTTTCTCCGCTCTTGTCATTACATTGGGTACATTGGGTACATTGGGTACATTGGGTACTAGGGATGTAAAAAACTATGAATTTTCATGACCGACCACCGAGCCTCATTAACCGGTTGAAACCGGTTAACCGCGTAGTTTAAAATAGTCCACGTTCTTTGAAATAACAGCCATTTCGAGCCGCGTACTTTTCATAAGTGCAGCTGAGCATTCTAATGGATCAGAGCCAAGACAGCGGCGCCAAAACCCGCAACAGCTTCGGCACCTTTGCGCACAGAGAACTTCTGTTTTAATCTTCCCATTATTCTGTGCTGCGGGTTAAAGCTTTTTTAAGCAAAAGACAGCTCGTCCACATGGTCAGGGCAGCGAGTGACGAGCCGCGTCTCGCAGGTCTCCGCTAAAGTTTAAAAGTGATCAGTGTGGATCTGATGCCAAGGACCAGCAGCACAAACATGGTCCATGTGGTTTGACTGGAGCCGTGTATTTGCAAGAATGCTTTGGGCTCCGTGACACAGAGGAGCGCGACAGACCGGTATGTGTGTGTGTACAATACATGTATGTATGTGTGTATATGTCTGTGTGTGTGTATATGTATGTGTGTATGTGCAATACATGTATGTATGTGTGTGTAAATATAAGCTCCAATGTAGTTCTGACCCGCACCAGTGTGCAACTAGCAGGCGGTAACAGAGGGGAGAGATGATGCGTGTGGATGTTACGTGTCAATGGAGGGGGGGAAATGTGTGTGTGTGTGTGTGTGTGCGTGTACATGTGTGCGTGTATATGTGGCGCGTACGGCGTGAGAGTCGGCCCAGAGTTTACTGATACATTGGCGCACACAGTTAGATATGGACCCGCTCGTCACATCGTGCAAATAGGGCTTAAAATAGCGTTATGAAGAGACCTCCCCTCTCCCCTTTTTTCTCTTTTTTAACCGACAGCTTTGACCGGTTAACGCTGTGACGGTCAACCACCGGTTAACAGTCACCGATTTACATCCCTATTGGGTACATTGGGTACATTGGGTACATTGGTCGGTGTCTGTGACGTCAAGAGTTCGCGCCAAATTTTCTGGTTGTAGTTTGGCAATGGCAGCAAATGCGATAGTAAAGGAAGCTCGTCAATCCGGTCTGGTTCGGCTCCAAATATCAAGAAACTGAAGAGGAATGTTTAGTAAATGTCATTGCTGTTGAGGCTCTACTCCCCACGGGCTCCGTTTGTGGCAAAGGAGATGTAAGTAATTAAGTAATCTTTATTTATTTAGTGCCTTTCACAGACCAGAGTCACAAAGCAGTTTACAATTGTGGACATTTGAGATGGCTAAAGCTAGGCTAAATGCTAACACTAGGCTAAATGCTTTACTCACTCACAAGTTGCATTTGTCACAGTAAACTCAGACCCAATCATTTTAATTTACAAAAGGAGTTAACCCCTCCCACCTGATAACGGAGTCAATGGAGCAAATCCAGACCAGAGCTAAATGAAATAAGTACGATGGTATGGTAAGACCAGGCTAGTTTAGTGTGTGAGGTTGGCTTGAAAAAGTGTTGGGTGTAAAGACAGTGAGACGACATTCTTTCAGATGACCTTTCATTCACAAAGAGACGGTGCACTTGTATCCGTGGTAACACATGATCTCACATGGAATGAGTGGTTTTTACATTCTCTCTGTGTGTTTACTCTCCTCTGTTCATCTCATCGTGTCTCAGCCTTCACCGAGGACCGTCACATTATGGACCCCATCCGGAGCTCGTTCATTGGAGGGATATCACAGATCTCATTTCCCACCAAACCCCTCCAGGTACCAACAAAGACTATTTCTTTAAGGCAGCCACCATTTTCAGAACACCATTTCCTTTGATTCAGATTTTGCCTCGAAGAGAAAGCAGGTATTAGTTTTAAAGATGCAGTCAGTGATTTTTAATTATTTTTTAAAAATATTGTGGGAAAACGTCCCTAAACCCTTGAAGTATCAAGTTATCATGTGTTTTCAAATAGTAATGGAATTGACCAGATGTCTATAGTCTCCAGAAATTAATAAAAAATATTTTGGACCAGACCAATAAAAATAAACCAATGGGATTCGTTCATCTCGAACGAACCAATAGGATGTGTTTACCCCCTTCACCCTCTTCCTGTTTCTCAGAGTGCACCTGAGTTATGGGATTTTCTAAAACTTAAAATGGCTGATCAGAAAATGCCAATTTCACGTTTGCTTCACTCTCCCTGATGTGACAAAGAAAAGAAAATGCTGGATGTTTGGTTCGGTGGAGAGGGAGGGGACGGGGGAGTGGTTTCATGTTGTTGCTACGGCTAAGCTAACATCATCGCTTACTGTACCTTTAACTAATTTGGCCTGGCCTGAGCTGTCAATCATTCTTGCATTGCCCCAAATCACAACAGTAGTTATCACGGAGGACTGTACAAAAATGTCGATTCGCCGACACAGATCAGAGAATCAATCACGACTCTACTGTATGTAGGCGGGGCTAAAGGTCGGCCGGAGCCAAACTAATTTCTGTCCTCCGCTTTACTGCATCATAGCAAAGAGAACTGACTGAGTTCGGACAATAATAAACTATTTTTGAAGAACATTTGTCAACAGTATAGAGAGAAACCTTTACAAGATTTACAACCGCAATCAAAAACTGGCTCGCGGCGGTAAATGTAGCGTAAATGAAAGTGATGCTGCGATTTATCACGCGATACCAGTCACAGAGAATGCAAATCAACAACGCAGACAAATGGTTTCTGAGCGGTCTGTGCAGTGTAGAAGGCACGCACGTCTGTCCACATGGCACCACCAGAAAAGCAAACACAGCTACTTTTGAATATTTTCTTTTTCGCCTCCAACGCGGGACACAAACCTGATGCCACCGGGACGATCCATCACGCGCCGCGCCTGTCATCAATAATGGTCATTGTGATTTCTGCAAGGGCCGTGGTAAATATGGCAGCTGGGGTCAGGGTTGGGGGGTTTTTGTGCCGGTCCCACACAGACCAGGCCTTCCTGAGGAGAAGTGGAGCGTGTCGAGTGTCGTTGTGTGTCTGTGCTGAGAGGGAGCATGCCCACCACCGTTCTGACACTTCATTAAACAGTCCCGGGAAACACACTGAGGGAGTGGAAGCAGCGATACGGCTCCAATCAGAGAAAGGAACGGCAACATCTCCAGATAATCAGTTTGTAAACAGCAGAGGTCTCCAGCCCTTTTCAGTCAGAGAGCTACTTTAATGCAACAAAAGAGCAAGAGAGCTACGTCTTTTTGCAGTCATAATAAGAAAATCTATGTAATAATCACAACAAAACATAGAGAACACATAAATATAACGTAGTACTGTAAAACCTCCTCCGCCTCCTCCCTCATCACAGGTTCATATAAATGCTTATTACTGCATACAAGTTGCATTATAATCCGTAATTTAATGGAAAACTTGAGTTCATTGATTCAGCTGTGTATGAATTCAGGTGTAAAAAGTGCTGAGTAGAGACTTAGCGTGACGCCCGCTCTCCTCCAATCACAGAGCGAGGCTGCGTCCTCTAGCCTCTACAGCGCTGCTAAACAGAGTAGCATGTTAGCATAAGTGGCTATAACTCCTCTGGTTGAAACTGCAGACACAGCAAAACAGCCCAAACCACACAACAGTGAGGAAGAGAAGAGGAACTAAAGCCAAAAAATGATCAAAGAAGAAACCAAGCCCTGAACAGAGCTAGCTTACATTGTATCCTCTGGAGAGACTTGTCTGTGGGAGAGACCTGCGGGACCGCCTCGGACTATCTATGCTCGGACTATCTACGCTCGGACTATCTACGCTCGGACTATCTACGCTCGGACTTTCTGTGCTCGGACTATCTACGCTCGGACTATCTACGCTCGGACTATCTACGCTCGGACTATCTGTGCTCGGACTATCTATGCCTGGACTATCTACGCTCGGACTATCTATGCTCGGACTATCTACGCTCGGACTATCTACGCTCGGACTATCTACGCTCTGACTATCTATGCCTGGACTATCTACGCTCGGACTATCTACGCTCGGACTATCTACGCTCGGACTATCTACGCTCGGACTATCTACGCTCGGACTATCTACGCTCAGACTATCTACGCTCGGACTATCTACGCTCGGACTATCTACGCTCGGACTATCTACGCTCAGACTATCTACGCTCGGACTATCTACGCTCGGACTATCTACGCTCGGACTATCTGTGCTCGGACTATCTACGCTCGGACTATCTACGCTCCGACTCGGACTATCTACGCTCGGACTATCTACGCTCAGACTATCTACGCTCGGACTATCTACGCTCGGACTATCTACGCTCGGACTATCTACGCTCGGACTATCTACGCTCGGACTATCTACGCTCGGACTATCTATGTTCAGACTACATTCAGAAGCGGAACTAGCGGTAATCTTTCAGTTGTATATTTTGTTAGCATTTTGTTTGTACCATTTCATCAGTGATTGTTCTTGTACAGCTTACAAGATATTGCACTCATGCTAATGTTAGCCTCCCCTTCAGATCGCAAATACAACTAGA